GCAAAATTCAAATGTACACTGGGAATGCAGCAGGGGGACATACTCATAGAACAGGAGATAATAAATAGGTGGGAATAATATACAGAAGCAATATACAGAAAAGAAGAAAGAAAGACAGACTCCTTTCAAGAGGAATTCTATGAGAAAGAGCCTGCAATATTAGAAAGCTAAATGAAAACTAACCTAAAAGCACTTGGAAGGAACAAAGCACCCAGCGTAAAGAAGATACGAATACAACTATTCCATAACTATAAAAAATGAAACAATACCCACAGACTGGAAAAGTTCAATATGTATTCCAATACCCAAGAAAGGGGATGCAAAAGAATCCAGCAACATTAGGATCATCAGACTAATTTTCCATGCAGGCAGAGTGATGTTCCAGGAATTGCCAGAAAGAATTTTGCCCAGTATAGAAGAAGACATGCCTGATGTTCAAACTATCAACAATGGAAGAGGCATTCAAAATACATCATATATGTCAGCTTATAAAGTACACCAAATAATTTCAGAAGAAGATTAGTCAGGCTTGAGACCTGGATACTTAAAGGAACGCTTGCTCCCATATATGACCTCTCGCCCCTTGAGGTCAGCAGCAGATGCCCTTCTCCTGGAACCATCTGTGAATGACATCAGGAGGGTGAGTACCCGGAGGAGCGCTTTCTCTGGAATGCTCTCCCCAGAGAGGTCCTCCTGGCTCCGTCGTTATTTGTTTTTGGGCACCAGACCAAGACCTTTTTATTTAAAACTTATTTAATTGTTAATTTATGTATTTAACTAGGGTTTTTTTTTTTAAGCCGAGAATGCACTGAGGTTTTATTGAGGTTTTATGGCACTGGGGTTTTATTGTATCGGGGTTTTATTGGATGGTTTATTTATTGATGTTTTGTGAGCCGCCCCAAGGCTTTATTGTGATGGGGTGGCATAGAAATGTTTTAAATAAATAAATAAATAAATAAATAAATAAATAAATAAATAAATAAATTTAAAGCCTTTCTAACCTGTTCACCATTGATGTCTCAGGATGGCTTACAATAAAAGAGCAAATGATACTTTTCATAGTATTTGGATCAAATCATAAATTGCAGGTAAAAGCTGCTCAGTGCCCCACTTTTTAAAGTACACATTTTAGAAAGGAAGAAAAATAAACCAAACAGTGTAAGCATTATGGGTAGGCCCTGCCAGAAAATGTGATTTCTATGCTCTGCTTGAACATGCTTTATGGTGGTGCCAGGAGTCTGAACGCTGTTTAAAATTATATTAATTGAGGGGCTTGTTTGCATGTGTGCCCCCGTGTGTGTACCTGTGTGTGTACATGTTTGTGGCAGGCCTGAAGATCTATGGTTGGACATTCTGTAATTAGTGAACCAGTACTAGTGTGGGCCAATGTGCTGCAGGGGTTGGAAGCATGGGACTGGGACTCAGGAGAGCTGGCTCCTAGTCCCCACTGTGCCGTGGGTCCAACTGGGTGGCTTTGGGCAAGGCACAGACTCTCATGCCAAGCTACCTCACAGGCTTGTTGCTGTGAGGCAAAGATTGAGAGCAGAAGGAGAATAATGTAAGCCAAGCAGGATACAAATCTAACAAATAATGGTGCTGAGACAAAGTATTTATCCCACCCTAACAAAAAGACATATAGGGTGGCAAAAGACCTTTAAAAAATAAAAATGCCAGGAGGTATAGAATGTCACGGGGCTTTTAAACCAGTGGAGGCAAGAAGATACACGAAGGTTCGGAGTTGTTCCCAGTTCATTCTTGTTCAGTCTGGCCAATCCCACATGGTCTGAGGTGCCATTTCAGTCAGATTCTGGGCTAGGCCACATGATGACAGGTTGACAGAGGGGCTGACCTTTCCTGGTCAGCATTTGGCAGTCTGGAAACCTAAAAGCAACAAGGGCTTCTCTCCTTCTGCCTTCTTCTTAAGGTAATGGTGGGAACACTACACTCAAATCCAGTAAACTGTCATCTCCGTGCTGCAGGGTGTACCCTGGCATAGCTAATACATCCTGTGGGTGCCTGTACTACCTACTGAAATATGGGTAAGATTAGCACAAGCCACTCATATTTCACAATCTGCCCCATGTTTTTGTGCATGTGCGAATCGGCAGTTTGCTCTTTGCTGCTTCCACCTCCTTAACATCAGCCCCTAAAGAGTATTGACCCATTTGTGGAAGGGCATCCTAAGGGATAGCTCCAATATATAACTATTTCAACATTCATCTATTTCTCACCTATCAAGCAATTCAGCCACAGATCAACAATTAAATGAAGACCAGAGTATTTTATCCTCAAGAGTGGTGATCAAAATGGAAGTTGACAAATTGGTATTGCTTTATTCAAGTTGCTTCCTAAAACAATAAGAAAAGGAGGAATGGGAGCAGGACAAGATGACTGAAGCCACTCTTCCATCTTGTGTTCTGTTTCTTGTTCCATTGCAGAGCAGGCACGGTTCTTGAACCTTCCAGTATTGCAGAGATTACAAATGCAGTTCCTGCATTTTCCTGCATAACACTTTTTGCGTGGCTCCCCTTACTTCCTTATTTCTCAAACTGTAGACAATAGGATTCAGCATGGGGGTGAAGACTGTGTAAGATAATGACAAGAGTTTCTTAAGCTCTGGAGAATAACTAGATTTTGGCTGGAAATAGGTAAGTCCAGCTGTGCCATAGAACAAAATCACCACAACAATATGTGAAGTACAAGTGGAAAAAGCTTTGTGTCTGCCTTGGGCTGATGGTATTTTTAAGATGGTTCTGAGGATACAGACATAGGAAACCACAATGAGCATAAATGGGAAGAGAACAATTAAAATAGTTCCAGTGACAGCATATATCTCAAACAGGTAAGTGTCTGCACATGCTAATTTTAACACAGGTGGGCTGTCACAGAAAAAGTGATCTACCTTATTTGGGCCACAAAATGGGAAACTAAACACCCACGTGGTTTGGACTGTTCCCACCACAACACCAGAGCACCAGGAAAATAGGGTCAGCTGGACACACATCCCCTTCTTCATAATTACTGTGTAGCGTAAGGGATTGCATATGGCTACGTAGCGGTCATAAGCCATGGCAGCCAGGAGGAAACACTCGGAACCTCCCAAAAACAAGAAGAAAAACATCTGCATCACACATCCAAGGAAGGAGATACCTTTGTGCTCTGAAAGGAGATTCACCAACATTTTCGGGAGTATAACCAGGGCAAGGCAGATGTCTACAAGGGACAAATTCCTGAGCAAGAAATACATGGGGATCTGAAGGGCTGGATCTGTGGATGTGAGAAAGATGATAAGGATATTTCCCAACGCCGTTGTGATATATACAGCCAGAAATACCACAAAAAGAAGCAGCTGAAGATGTCCAGAAAATCCCAGCAAGATGAATTCAGTGACACCAGTATTGTTTGCCCAGGTCATCCTGTGCTAATCAGTGAAATGTGCTGTCATGGTTTTCCTGTGATGTTGTCCACACTAGAAGGAAACATGACAGAAAGTGCTAGCAAGGGAATGAGCTACCAAGGGATGGTTCTGGTTAGTGGAGTCCACATGGGATCTCCTGTACAAACCTTCGCAAATGAGTCTTCACAACTACAGCAAGACATATGTGGAACAATGACAAAAACCATTCATTCAAATCCTTCTCAAAATTGGAGGAAAAGAATTATTGCATATAACACCTGCCCTCTTCATTAGTCATCCTATTGAAGAATATATAGTTTTTGTGCTGACCAAACTTCACAGGTCAGATTTTTAGGGTTCTATCAGAGAGACATAAGAGAATTGGAAATATGAAATAAACCTCTGACAAGAATGTCAGAATGTGTACAAGAGATGCCTGCCATCAGGTGTTTTGACACCAGAAGGTAGGTTAAGATGACCATGTACAAAATATGGAATGCTTTCTGCTTTGATGTTTTTCTACAGATAGTGACTGCAGAATGCTCAACATATAAAAGTGCTGTGCATGATGGCTGTGCCAGCTGGTCTAAACTGGAGAGGGGCTCACTCTTTGTTGTTAGTGTGCAGCCACATAAAATACGAGTAGAGTCTGTGTATTATGAATGTACTAGCTGGCATTGCCTGGCTGTCTCATGGTCAGACAATGAACAAGTTTGACCTCTTTTCTTCTCCTGAACAAATTAATCACTGGTAGCTTAACTGAAAGACAAACAATATCTGGAAAGAAAGACAAAGAAAAGACATTTCAGATATTCATGAGACAGTCTTAGACAAGCAGTGTCTAAGTACGTTTGTGTTAAAACCACTTATGTTTCTGAGGGAGCACTGCTTGCTGCACTCAGGAAAAATGCATTTATCACAGCTGGGGCATGTGCTGATGAAGGCATGCAGTTTCCACGATGCTGAGAATGTGATCTGAGAATGCCATGCAGGAGTTGCAACGGGAATGTGTTCCGGGAAATAGCCTTTCAGATTTCTTTCTTTTTTTCATTTTTGCATTTGTTTTTTCACACACCATCCTGTGTTCAGAAAAAATACAGTGGATGTAGTTTTATCAAAGTGGAAAAAATGGAATCTCTTTCTGCAACTTCACAAGAAAATCATGGGGAAAGTAAATGGATGTGACCACTGGCATCCCAGCTCCCATGGGGTGAAGCTAGGAATAGCTGCATGCTTGTTCTCTTCCACATTCCAAAAGCAATCAACAGAAAATAATGAGCCTTCTACCATGCTGCATTTCCACATAGATGGATGCATTTAATCAGTATGATTAGTTTCTGAGGAAGACCTTTAGAGAGAGACTGAGAGGGACTTCTAACTAGGCAGGCATTTTCAGGCTTGGCAAGAAATGGCAGACTGTTTCCCCACGCAGGATGGTGAGAGGAAAACACCTTTGCATCTCCTTTCCAGCTCAGTAGGCATCTTGGAAAGGCAGAGGAGCCACAAAGAGGGGAAGAAGGGAGGAAAGCAATGGAAGTGTGCGTTCAGAGCTGTTCTGCCAAAGCCCTACTTCCTTGTCCACACTAGCCCCAGCCCACTGAAGCCTTTCCTGCAGACCCCAGAACAGTACATCAAGGTTACACTGACAGATGACATCACCACTGGGAGGAGGTGAGTCCTCCTTCACAGCACCACTCGTGAAACCTTCTGTGGCAACCCTCACAGCAAGATAGGAAACCTTTAGGTTTGCACTAAGCATGCCATCTCTGATTGGAATTTTCATGTTTGAGAAAAGTACTTTCAGGTAACAGCAGCCATCTCATTAAGCTGATTATTAACTAGCTTCTGAAGATTTGCTCTTCCTACAGAACATGAACCAATGGAAAAAGCAAATATTCAGGTGGGGTGTTGGCTGTGAATCGAGGATGGAGGGGGAACACTGTGGGAAAGTCAAATCCCCATTCATACCATCAAGCTCTGCTGGGAGTACTGTGGAGAGTGGTGTGTCTCACTCATAAGCACCATATGGACATTAGAAACTAACACCAGACAGTAATCCAAAAACAGAATCCTCACTACTCCTACAGCTAATAACGATTACAAGTAATAATGAGAGATTCCTACTCTGTCTTCTCCCAGCATTACAAATGGTTCAGACAACAAAATTACTTCACTGGCTACAGCTGGAATATCCTGCCACATAAATTGTCCAGTTGGATGGAGAGATATCTGGAGATATGCTGGGGACATCTTGCAGCTGATGAGCTGTATACCTTTCTCCTTTAGGTCAAAGCAAATATTTACTAACTAAAGATGAGTTAGAAGTTAGATGAGTTACCTTCCTCCAGAAGCTGAGGAGATGCTCTCTGAAAGGGCTGAGCATTGGTAATTCCATTTCTTTATATGAGTGTCTTTTATGATCTGTGGGATTTGACTGTGTCCCTCCACCTCCACCCATCTCTCTGGAGCAATTAGTGCTGATTGTGTGATATCTCATTCAGCTATTATGTACATTTCAGAGGGAAATGACTGGATTCTCTTTATGTTCACAACTTCCCCAATGGCACTGTATGTGTAGGTTAGGAAAGTATTAAAGCGCTATGGCCATTGTCCCCACTGTGACATGGGCCACAGCTTTGAGTAGAAGGGTCTGCAGCTGTTTTGGATAGAAACAATTGTCATGGGAATCACCCTAGGAACCAGGTGGAGATTGGTACTCATTCTGGCCAATCTCACATTAGTTGGGGTGCCACATCAATCAGATTCTGGGTTGGGTTTTCCTTCTAGGCCCACCTTGCTGGTCTGCCTTCAGTGGTCTGGAGACATACAAAGAACAAGGGTTTCTCTGCTCCTGTCTTCTTTTCAAGGCAGCTGGTAATGTGAGAAACACTTGAGTAATGTCCCATAACCTGTTGTCTCCTGTGTGCTGCAGGGTGTTCCCAAGCATAGCCAATTCATCCTCTGAGTGCCTGCACTACCTACTGGAGTATGACTAAGTTTACCACAAACCTTTCATATTTCACAATCTGCACCATCTTTGTGTGTATATGGGACCGCATGTACAGTAGTTTGCTCTTTGCTGCTTCCACCTCCTTACCTCCTGCCCCGAAAGAGTATTGACCTATTTGCTGAAGGGTATTCTAATAGATGGCTCCAATTAAGCCTGCATATTTACCTATTTCCACATTCATCTATTTCTCACCTATCAACAAATCCAGCCAAAGAGCAACAATTAAATAATGACCATGTTAAACACAATACTTTATTTTCAATATTGATGATCAAAATGGAAGATGACAAATTGGTATTCAAATATATTACTAAAACAATGAGAAAAGGAGGAGGAGCAGGAGCAGGAGAAGAAGAAATGACTAAAGGAACTCTTCTGCCTTGTGTTTTGTTTCTTGTTCCATTATGGTGCTGGCACTGTCCTTGACCCTTCCAGTACTTTTGAGATTAGAAACGCAGTTCTTGTGTTTTCCATATAACATTTTTTGCATGGCTCCCTTTACTTCCTAATTTCTCAAACTGAAGACAATAGGATTCAGCAAGGGGTGAAAACTGTATAAGATAATGAGAACAGTTTCTTAATTGCTGGAGAATAACTAGATTTTGGCTGGAAATAGGTGAGTCCAGCTGTACCATAGAACAAAGTCACCACAACAATATGTGAGGAACAAGTGGAAAAAGCTTTGTGCCTGCCTTGAGCTGATGGCATCTTCAAGATAGTTCTGATGATACAGACATAGGAAACCACAATGAGCATAAATAGGAAGAGAACAATTAAAATAGTTTCTGCAACTGCACAAATCTCAAACAGGTAAGTGTCTGCACATGCTAATTGTATCACTGGTGAACTGTCACAGAAAAAGTGATCTACCTTATTTGGGCCACAAAATGGGAAACTAAGCATCCATGTTATTTCAACTGTTCCCACTACAATGCCAGAGAACCCGGAAAATAAGGTCAGCTTGACACACATTCCCTTCTTCATAATTACTGTGTAGTGTAAGGGATTGCATATGGTTATGTAGCAGTCATAAGCCATGGCAGCCAGGAGGAAACACTCGGAACCTCCCAAAAACAAGAAGAAAAAGATCTGCATTACACGCCCAAGGAAAGGGATAGCTTTATTGTAAGCCACCCCGAGATGCTAGTGGTGGATGGGCTAGAAAAGCTTTTAATAAATAAATAAATAAATCATGAGTAGCATTTGATCTGAATAGAAACACCCCCTCCCATTTTTGTCAAAAAATCTAGCCCTCCCATGAGGGTTGCGTAGGAAAGAAAGAAAGAAAAGAAATGGTCTTCAATGGTTCCATGGCCCTAATTCAGATTTTATTTACTAAAGTAAATCATTCAACCATGCATGTCTCCACTGTGTGTAACTGGATGAAAATTTATTACTCTTTCACATTCACGTTCATACTGGGTTAACTACAATGGAACAAGGCACCTTCACTCCCCTCCTTCCCATAGAAGCCCTTCCAGACTGCTGAAAAAGTTACACAGAGTCAGCAGAATAGACCTGCTCAGTGAGGTGAACTATGATGTAGGGGTGGTCCCCAAACTCTAGCTGCGAAACATTGCTTAAGTAGAGTTTATGGGACATCCCGTATGTGGAACCTCACCTCTTGTAGAACATGCCTTCTTCAAGATTACATACAGAGGTCATTCATTCATTACATTTCTATGCTGACCTAATAGCCACATTGGTGATTCAGAGTTAAATATTAATTTCTGTTTGCAATATATTTTAACTTATTTATATTTTAGTTTGTCATTCAACTCGTTGACTGCTCATTCATTTGATATATTTGCCAGTATAATGACCTTACTACTACCTAATAGCCAAATCTTTTTGAGTGGTTCACCATAATTAAAATCACAAAATACAACATACCATTCGATATTGTAATTCAAACCTTTAGAAGTAAAGTAGAAGTAGAAGTCAACACTGCACTGCAGTAAATCCCAGCAGCAATCAAAAATATAATAATAAAGTAACACATTTAGAACAGCAGAAAATGAACAACTAATATGTTTGACATTGACTTAACTTTTGTGCAGGATGTGCAGGTATTCATCTGATACCTGTTCAGCACTACAAGTTACCTGTAGCTTTGTGTCAGCCTGATATCTCACAACAAACATCTTGTGACTGTGATAGTTTACTGAACATCAACAAATGGACTTTGGAATATAAAAATTACATTCTAGAGGAACAATCTTGTTGCTCTGTCTCTCTCTCTCTCACTTTCTGTCTCTCTCTCTCTCTCTCTCACACACACACACGCTTTCTCCTGCCAAACAGCACTTTAAACTTTATAATTATATTGATGGTCATTTGTACAAAATTCCACATCTGAAACAAAATTGCATATTTGCAACCTTTGATTGTTAGCAAGCCAAAGTGTGTTTATTAGATTTTGTTTACTAATTGCAGTATGTTGTTTCCAGCTCTTGTAATTTTGCTTCCTAGTAAAGTAGGGAGCTCTTTTCTGTTGCTCCTGGAAATACTAGTTACATTATACTGGGAACTTTTATGCTAGTACATTATTATTCATGCTAGCATTTGGAAACCACCAAATACTATTCATAGCATTTATTTTCCCTTGGTAGGTGGGTCAATATCACTGTGGATATAGTGATGTAGAAAGAAGCAAGACACAGGATTATAGTGTAAAACTGGGCCACCATTTTATTTATTTATGAAGGGAGTTTGCAACAAGCAACAAATATTCTTAAGTGGTAGGAGAGTGAGATCAATTCAGGTAAGGATGAACTTTGTTTTTAGGTGAACTGATTCTTGGCCTTGACCAAATACAGTAAACTCACTGCACTGCCTGTGCCAGCAAATCCTAGCAAATTGAGTCAGGAATACCCAAGAAGTGGTCCTACCTACCCACACTTCCAGCCTGGTTTTCTGTGCGGATCTGATCTGAGGAACCACTCTTCACCAAAAGACAAGCCTCAGAAATCTCATGGACATGGTCCTAGCATGTCAGTACCATAAATTGATCCTAATGTGTACTCCTTGACCAGGTCGACCAGGTCAGAGCTGACTAGGCCAAATAACAGTGATGATGATGAGGAGGAGGATGACAATGTGGATTGGGGGTGAGGATCCTACTTGGCCCATTAGTGACTAGCTATTCCTGAATTGCACCAGAGAAAGAAGGCATGTGAACTGCGTCTGAGTGTTTGATCTGAAATAGTCAGTCAAGACCTGCCTCACATTGCCCATGTTCTGCACTGTATACAAGCTGCCTTTCCTCTTGCCCCCATCCACCACCCCATCAAAACTGCATGCCTCATGCATGTTGCTAGTGACTAGGAAGGGACTAGGAAGGGACTAGGAAGGGAACACCACTGATCTATAATTCTTATCTAAGAATTCTTAGATAACATATCTGCATGTCACAGTCAAAGATGCACAACAAACAATAGGGTGGAGGCTGCCACTCTTTACGTATCCAGTCAGTGTACACTTTGAAGCACTTTTGCCATCTTTAACAACATCTTTTCCCACTCAGTAACCTCCAGAAGGCATCCTTCATGTCCTTGTTCCTCAGGCTATAGATAATGGGATTTAGCATGGGTGTGACAATAACATATGATAGAGAAATAAGATGTTTAGTCCAAGGAGAATTATTTGACTGAAGTTTCAGGTGAGTCAGACTGGCTGTGCCATAAAACAGAATCACTACCATGATGTGTGAAGAGCAAGTGGAAAAGGCTTTCCATCTGCCTTCAGATGAAGGCATCCTCAAAATGATAGCAATAATGCAGACATAGGAAGCCAGAATCAGTGAGAATGGACATATTATAACTATAAACGTTCCAATGAGGATAAAAAGCTCAAATATGTAGGTGTCTTTACAGGCCAGTTGAAGTACAGGTAGAATATCACAATAGAAATGAGAAACTTCATTGGATCTACAGAATGAGAGGTTAAACAACCAGGTAACCTGTACAGTCCCAACAGAGAATCCTGAGGCCCATGCAGCTATCATTAGCCACATACAGAGCTTCCTGTTCATTATAACCTTGTATCTCAGAGGATTGCAGATGGCAACAAAACGGTCATATGCCATGGCTACTAGAACAAAGCACTCTGTGGTTCCAAAGAAAAAGCCAGAATACATCTGTGCTTTACATCCAAATAAGGAGATGGTCTTTTTTTCCGAGAGAAGGTTCACAAGCATCTTAGGGATAATTGTTGATATAAATCCAACTTCTGCAGAGGACAGGTTTCTAAGGAAGAAGTACATAGGGTTGTCCAAAGTGGTATCCATTACTGTCAGCAAAATGATGAGGATGTTGCCCATCACAGTGGCTATGTAGATAATCAGAAACGAAGTAAAGAGGAGAATCAGGAGTTGACCTAGGTTGGTAAATGCCAGAAGAATGAATTCATTCATCATAGTCTGATTCACCGAAGTCATTCTTTTCATTTAGTTTTTAAAAGTATTGGTCCTTTGGAAAAGAGCAGAGAATAGCAGCAATTCTTGATTATTACCAATAGTTAAATCTTTTCTTAGTTGTTCGACTGTCTATCCTAGGTGGATCCAGAACAAACTCCATGGTAGCACTGCATTGCCGGTGTAAATAAAAAGGCATTGATTTACCAGCTTGTTGAATCCTCTCAGGCAGTCATGTTAATTGATTACCATAGTGATTTACACATGTGCTAGTTTGCAACTTTATAGATGTCTCTTGCATTACACAATTATATCTTGTTAAGACAAGATATTTGTTTTGTCTTTCTTGAAGAGAGAAGCATTCTAAGAGAGAATACTCCCATGACAATTATAGCTCTTTCTCTAAGCAAGCTGACAAGAGAGTCAGACCCACTGAGCTTAGTGTAACTTAATATTGAGTAAACATGATGTATGCTCCAAAGGTCTCCAAAATTTTCCAGAAGCTGTGACTGGTATTTCCTGGGCATTCTGCACTTCTCCCTTCCTCCTCCCTCAGCATTTTCCTTCCCAGCACACATTCTGTTGCATCACTGGAAACACAACACCCCTGCTGATTTCTATGATGGTTACAAGGTGGTGGAGTAAGGGGAGGCTTCCCAATATAAGATTCCCCCTCCTGAGCACCTAGCAGTATCTGTTTTCTTAGTTGTGGGAATCTGCCATATCCTATGGCCCCCTGGAATGCTCTTCCAAGTCACATAGGATGGGTGTGCTGATCTTTTATTTGTATTCATTTATTTATGTATTTCAGTGATGTCTCTCTAAAACTAAAGTGTTTTAAAATAAAATCTAGATTTATAATGCAAACAAATATGGTGAGATCCGTGGAAAGGATCTTGACTAAGTCACTTATTAGTCCAACTAAAATCAATGGGAAGAAAGAAAAAAAAGAAAGGTTTTTCCACTCTGAGTGTGAGTGTGAGCATTCAGTATATTACAATGCAGAGAGTTTTGTGTGAGTTAGAATGTATGTGTGGGAGAGAGACACTTCATGGACAATCTCATAGTTATTGAAAGAATCAAGGTTTATCCATGATTCCAATATTTATAATATTGAAGTTCCAACTAACCGTTTTACTAAAAGTTTAACTTCCCCCTAATTCATGCTTTTCAATCATCCCTGTCACTTCCTTTGCATTCTTCATCTGCAGATACAGAAAAAAGTGAAAATGCTCACTCATTTTGAAATATAAAGAATCAGATTATCTCATTTACTCTTCCAGATTTGAACTTATTTAACACCAAAATGGTATACATATTTAATTAGTTAGCTCATCTGTTATTATCACTGAAATACTTTTATACTGCATTTATATATGCATAATAAAAAGCATCTATTTGTTTCCTGGCTAGTTTTTTGCTTGCAGAATTAATAGCAACTATTTGAAAGATTTGTTCTTCATTGTTCTGTACAAAACCCAACTGCCTCTGTTCCAATGCGAGGAAGTTTATCAATGTATATAATTTCAGTATACCCACACCAACTCCAGAGACTGACCTTGGTAAAGGCTGCCTGACTGTAATTGGAAGAAGTCTTAGAACAGCAGAAGTAGAGAAAGGACCATCCATTCATCACCAGAGACATCTTTTGCTGAACTCAAGATGCACCATCTGTCCTGTTGCTTGGCAATTTTGCTTTTTCCTTGGCATACCTTTACTATCCCAATCCCTATGATTCTACTCAATCCCAAAGCAAGGTAGCCAGAGTGCCAAAGTGAATACAATTGGCTTTGGCTAGTTCCCTTACAACCTAATGCACCATCACACTTTTCATTCTTTATTTTGAGAATTGAATGGAATGCTCTCAGGTATATTGTGGCTATATCTGAGAACTCTTTGGAGGAAGGATAGGATAATAAAATTGTAGCTACATAACTTCAGTACCAAAGAAGGTAACATATCTTGTCTATCATCTATTCTTGGGTAAGATCTACATAGGTTGAGTCTTCCATATCCCAAGCAACATATATAATCAGAGCAGTAGCTCTATGGATTGACTAAATTTAATGCAATAAATCATGAGTGCAACAGCCAACTCTCTCTGCTATGTCTTGTTATTTGCAGATATGGAAGCGTACCTCCTTCTCCTTCTCTTTCTCCTCCTTTTTCCTCTGATCATATTTTGCTTCTTTGCTCAGCAATACAAAATGGAGTGGTGGCATTGCCTGATGAATGCTTGGATTTCTGTCCGTGAAACTCTCTCCATAATATAGCTTCTCCCATGGGAAAGCTGTTGAAACAAACCCTTGGGATACCAAATACTGTGCATAGAAGCTAATGATAAAGAAGCATGCATTGAAAGGACAGTATGGAGTAGTGGGTTTCAAATTTTCTCAGTGCATTTTATTGTGCACCGGACTGCATGCATGTCCTACATGCAAGAAGACTGTAACTTGTAAATTGATCAATACAGCATAGTGGATCTAATTTCCATGGGGCAGTGTATTCACTCTGGATTGTGATCTAAACTTTTACTAGGGTATCCATGATGCTGAACCTATTTATAGAATGGTGGATAGCTCCTTTATAGTTCAGACTAAAACCCAAACCAGATATATAACCCTACTGATATCCAAGCCACCAGTCTCCACTGAAATATATGGGATAAAATTCAACATAAGTGCTCCTTAAAGTAGATCTATTGAAGTGAATGATACTAAGTTCAATTCAGGCAGGACCTATAAAGGATTTAACCTGTTCTCCAATAATGGCTTGTGATGGAAAACAGTTTCATTGAGGCTCTCACCATCTGAGAAGCTGGTCCTTATGTATATACTCTCATATACTCCATTTTATTTATATTTTATATAAAATAAGTTATACTATTGTCCATAAGCATTGCAGCCTTCACAGGCTTCAACAAAAGCAAACCAAATAGCCATATAATTATGCATTCACAGATGAAACCTACAGACCACCCATTCAACACATTGCTTTAATCCCCTGGGATGTGCTATATTCTAAAATCCTAATATGCATGGACATGTCCATAGTGTACTAAGATAGAAATGTATTCTTTATGCTTATGATCTTCTATTTCAGCTTTCATGTAGGCAATTAATGATTTTAGATATTTATTTGGTTCTTCTGTAACTGATCTAAGTCAAAACTTATGAGTTTTGGAGATAATAAAGAGTGTTATGGAATTGGTGATTTAGACTTTGTGCTGAATGTATTACCTATCTAGGAATTAAGAATAAACACATAAAATAAAAACTTGGATACCATGCAAGCCAACAAGAGCTGGTAATTCCAGATAGTCCATTCTGCACTAGGGCCTAAGGCCTAATATGTATAAGGCCTAATATGCTCTGGGGCAAAACCCAGCCTGTTTCAACATAATACCTTTCAAATTAGAAGATGAAATCCAAAACATCTGCAGGACCACCAGTTGGGAATGTGTGTGTATGTGTAAGAGACTCATTAATTCAGAAACACATAATTGTGCACTTTAAATGTCATACAATTATGTTTAAATTTAATATAAGAGCAGTTCACTTTGATTGGAAGCAAATGATAAGGATACAAGATGGAATATGAGTCAGAGGGTGAAATCTTATTTACTATTACATGATCATCAGAAGCTATACAATACAAAGCCATCCCTCTGCTAATTAGTGCACCCTATTGGGGACCTTCTAGAATTTCCTGTCCTACTGTGCCAGAAAATTCATGTTTTTATATCTTTCCAATAGCATGAAATAACCTAAAAATCAAAGGCACCTCAGAGGTAATATAAATCTTTTCCACCATGGGACAAAACTCTTTGCTTTACTTTTTACTTTTTTATTTTTGGTAGTAACATTGAAAGAAATGTTCACTTAGGAGTTCAGAGAGAGAAAGAGAAAATGGAAATTCCACAACAATCAGATAACATGATCATATTCTACCTGAAAATTAGAACCTGAAGCAAGGCTTATGAACTTAAGTGCAACAATTTACTGTTACTAACAGAGGTATCTCTAAGCTAGAGTGGCTTTCAAGCTACATATTCCAGATTTTCTAAACAATTTTGAGAAATCAACTCACCTAATTGTGGCCTTCAGTTCAGAGTGAGTTGAGCACATCACTAGGCATTGATGCACAAACACAGGAATTACTGCATGATTTCAAATTAGCTGAAGGACTCATTTAACCCACGGACTCATTTAGACGAGTCTATTCAGCAGGAAATTCCATCACTTCCCTTATATCAGGGGTAAAACTTCTGGCATACAGATCCTCAGCTGAATTACTTATGGAAGTCTCCCCACCCCATGAGGAGATGAGGAAAAAGGCAGCCCAGCTCTGATGGGAACCATCACCACTGAACCTTTAAGTTGAAGTTCCCAATTTTGAAATAACTTTCTCAGTGGGAGCTAGTCCCTCAGAGCAGGTGGAGCACTTAGAAGAAGCAATTTCAGGTAAAGTAGCTCCCTCTTTTGGGGTGCTCTAGTGCTGTGTATTTTGTATATGACTCTGTGTGTGTGTGTGTGTGTGTGTGTGTGAGAGAGAGAGAGAGAGAGAGAGAGAGAGAGAGAGAGAGAGAGAGAGAGAGATGGAGACGGAGACACAGATGGAGACACAGACAGAGAGACAAAACAAAACACTGCACCATTTTATTATTAAAAATCAAGAAAGGAATTGGATCTCTCACTCCTGCCCCTCTCCTACAGAAGTCTGAATAAAGCTCTTATAAAACATTTAAAACATTTAGGGCAGTGAAGAATTAATGCACTGATGAGATGCAATCCATTGCCTCCACGCTTCTGTTCCTCATGTTCCCTTTTGTACACCTCCTAGTCTAAGTTCACATCATTACCACCATCTTCAGGATCTCTTTCAAAGAGGGCAGGCACAAGGCCGTTTCTACTTGCTCATCTCATCTCATTGTGGTGGTTTTGTTCTATGGAAGTGGAAGCATCATCTGTCTAAGGCCCAAATCCAATTACTCACCAGAAGTTAAAAAATTGCTATCTCTGTTCTACACCATT